TGTGTTTGGATTATGATCAGCCTATTTGGACACTTAGCAAAAGATGCTTGTTGTTCAGCATTTAAAATGTGCTTACCATTTGTATCAACAGACTTTTCCTGAAATCATGCAGTTCTATCTTCTTCTTATCTCTTCCCACGTCAAAATTTTATCAATATATAAGAAATGTAGAGCAATTGGGTACCAAAACACCACCCAATGCAACACTTTTATGTTTTTATTATCATACAGAATTAAAATCCCATGAACTGTGAACAGCATTCTAGACCTTTTGTGGTTTATTCCTTCAATCATTTCAAACATTGATAGTGGTACCTATAAGGCTATTTGCTTGCTAGTTTATATCTGCCACATTTTAAATAGTATACATCAGGTTTGTGTAACCATTGATTTTGTTGGCTTTTGTCCAAGAATTATGATGATTTTTTTGTGTCTTTCTATAAATCTCATTATTGCTGTTAAGAAAACCTCCATTTTGAAAATCACAAACCACTGGTTGAAAAGTTCATGTAAAGTCCACATTGTATAGAAGCACATATCTTTAGTGTCTTCAGACAAAAATGTCTTAAAGTTAATTTAATGTTTGCACTTTGGGGTGCAACTTAAAAGAGAGGGCCTGAAAAAAAGAGTAGGAGAGAGCTATTAAATATTTTTAGCAAAAGCAAGACATGTTTGTCTTGTGCAGGACATATGCCCTTTAATTTAGTAAAATTTTTTAAGGTAAACATGCTTTGTTGTTGTAGCTAAAGTAATGCATAATCATAAACTTTTTGAAAATCCTGCAGTTTTTTTCATATCTATTAGAAGTTGTTTCCCAACTATTTTTGCTGAAGTGTGATTTTTTTTCTCCATTTCTTTCCAACCTCTCTTGTAAAAAGAGAAGTCAGTTTCTGTTAATGAATTAAGCAGACATACAATATTTTACATGCCTGTTGAGCTATATAACTTAATATTCTCATACTTAGTAATTTGTTTTATTATATAATCAGTAAAATGATGTATATTGATATTAGTTCAACCATATATTTATACCATCTGGAATGCGTGATCATAGTTCTGTGAGACAGATAATTTCTCAGTGTCCACCAGCTTGTAAAAATTTATGAAAGCTTAAATATATAAATCAATAATGAAATGCAAACAAAAAGAAGAGTTAAGGGTAATCACTAAGTACATGGAAATAACAATGTATAACTTGTAAAGTAGAAGTTATACTTACAGAATAGTTCTATTGGAACTATTCTATCGGAATAACGGAAGATGTTAAATTTTAAAACTCAATCCAGGAGAAGGCAGGAAAAGAGAAAAAAGCCAAAGGGGGGAGGGGACAAAAGAGAATGCAAAATTAACCTGGTAGCAGAAATTTCAAATGTATCAGTAATTACAAAATGTAAACGGACTAAACTTTCTCCTTGGAAGACAGGTATTGTTTAATTGGATAAAAATTAAGCCCAACTGTATAATATTTATGAAAGAGTCATCTTAAAATTATGTGTATGAAACGTTAACAGTAAGCAGGTGACAAAAAAGGTGTATCAGCCAAATACTAAACAAAAGAAAGCAGAGGTCACCAAATTCATGTGAGGGGGAAAAAAATGAACTTTAGCCCAGAAACCTTTATTAAATATAAAGAATGTCACAATGTAAGGATTAAAGACGTGATTTACCAGAAATATATAGTAGTGCTAGACTATTGCGCATTTAGTTACTTAGATTTACAGTATGTAAAACAAAACTTGATGGAATTACAAGGAAAGATGGAAAAAAATCTATCATCACAATGGGAGACTGAGAACGATAAGTATTCTAACAGTCTTGGTAAGTAAGGCAGGTACACTTACGACTTCAGATGAAACTTCCAATTAAGATATCATACAGGGATTCCCAAAAGTGTCATGCCTCAGACAACTTAGATGGACTCAAAAAGAGGTACTGGTAATGACAAAGACTCTGGTGTTGAAAATGCATGTGGCAAGTTGGACTCAATCAAATTGATTCCTGAAATGCAAATGAGGAAACAGCAAAACTTCTAAACTAAAATTTTCTATCACAATTTAAATATTTGTGTGTAAACAGAGTATCTCAAATAAAAATTTGATTATTTCATTGACATTAAAGTTTAGTCAATTTGTGGGGAATAAGACTGCCTTATATTGATGAATTCCTTATATTGAGGCACATACATTATATTGAATTGTAAGCCACAATTTATTGCAGAAACAAAGATACAATTATAATTCTTGAAAATAGTGAAGCCATGCTTCAATTGTGGTTCATGAACTGTTGGAGCTGAGGACCGTAGACATAATGTAGTTCATCACTCTTGTTCAATAGAGAGAAAATTAGAATCAAAAATATGTGTTACTTTGTATTTTATGTTTTACATTCATGACTTCAGACTTAAGTACACTCACCAAGTATCGTAATCACTTTTTCTTCTTTTCCATACATGCAGTGTAACAACATATAATTTTGGTGCTTAATAATCTTCGTGTTTTCTTTCATTATAGGTTATTTATTTGGATTTTAAAAATAGTAACTGTGTCAAGCTAAAACTCAGAGCTAGTCCCAATCTCATTGTGCTATTTTACCAAAGCTATATATAATTGATATGAATGTGCTGTTCACCATGACTATATGTAAATTATACATTCAATATGTAAGTGCAACTTTTACCACGAAGTTTATCTCAAACATTGCATTTGATTTGTTAAAAATATGAATGAAAATTTTATAATAGTGACAGTCTTACAAAGAGGAAAGAATAATGTAGATGACTCTGGGCCCTCTTAAAGGGAAAAAGTTAACTAAAGGGAATTTGAGGAGTGCCTCCTTTTCCTGTGGACAGATCTCACTTTGACAGGCAGAGACAGTTAAAACCAATCCATTGATCTGTTATTTTAAAAAACAGCCAGTGCAGCAGGCAATTACTGAATCCCTTTTTGCAACCTTCACATATGAAGATTTAGAGAGAAGGTCTCTTAGATCGGATCTCGGGGGTGATATTTTTCTTTGCTTTTTCCTCGTTTTTTTCTACCACTCAAATGCATTACCTCCTTTTTTTTTTGTATTTAAGACATACATATTTATTTACTTATATGTAGTTACATATTGTTCCGACAAGCAGTATACTCTGTTCATAAACATAAGCATATAAATGAGGTACTTAAAAAGCTCTGTGATGTTAGGCAAGTTATTTAGGCTGAACCTCTTTCTATTCTTCTGTTCAAATCGGTTTACTCAGAGTACCTTTCACATTGGATTTTTGTGCACATTAAATAAAAAGATGAATGTATTAATAAACCTCAGCATAGAGATATATGTGTTAAAGCAAGGTTTATCATTATTTGTAGTTGTCTTCCTAAAGCCCCAGAGCTAATAAAGGTTGTTCAGGGACTTTTTTTTCCCTCAGCATATGGGGGTACAAATGTTTAGGTTACATATATTGCCTTTGCCCCACCCGAGTCAGAGCTTGAAGCATGTCCATCCCCCAGACGGTGTGCACCATACCCATTAGGTGTAAACATACCTATTCCCTCCTCCCTCCCCCCACCTGCATGACACCTGATGAATGTTACTACTAAATGTGCATATAAGTGTTGATCAGTTAATACCAATTTGATGGTGAGTACATGTGGTGCTTGTTTTTCCATTCTTGTGATACTTAGTAGAATGGGCTCCAGCTCCATTCAGCTTCCTCTTCCTCACTCCTGGCCTCCCCCCATAACAATTTTAAGTTAATACTAAAGAGCTGCTTGAGGCGGGGAAGGAGGGGGTTGTTGGTCATTGAGGGAAGATATTTTTTAGCTAATTTTGTGTTTAGTGGCTTCAAGGATTTTTAAAAAAATACCCATTGGCAGATGGAACTTTCCCTTACCTCCTCCTTGATGTCCCTGAGAGTCACTGCACATATGGCACTGTGTGGCAGAAACTGACGGATCCTTGGGTAAAAGCCTTTAGAAATGACCCCTGAGAGGAAGAGAGCATGGTATGTGTAATCGTCTTTAGAGTCGAGTAGTTCCAGGTGTGTTTGAATCTCCTCTGAACCTGCTAATTGAATGATCACTACCGTCTCTCACTCCTGCTTAGCTTCCACTGCCATTAAATAGAAGCAGTTATCTTCTCAGATTGTAATAAATGAATGTGAAAAGTGCCCAGGAAAGTGCCTGACATATGCTCAGCTATGCATAAGTAACAGTCATTATTAGGGATACTTTTATTATCATTATTATGTTAATTCTCCAGGCTTGATTGCTTTGAACAGAGAAATAAAAATTCTATGAAAAGCAGGGCTGGGCTGGGCTGAACCGTGCTGCTACCCATTTGGAAGCATATACCACATGAAAGACCTTATTTCTATGCTTTTTCCTATAATCTTGAGACACATATTTTCTATTCACTGTTGTTTTAAAGGTCATCTCAAATTGATTCAGCCCCATATCTTTTAAGCATACCCTCTTTGTTAACCTGTATGTTAATATTACGATTGTTGATATTTGACAGGGCACTTGTTCCAATAACTTTATATTCAAGGCAAGAAAATGTAAAATTTTAGAGGAAAAGAAACCTTAGTAACTAGATAATTTAATAGCAGTTTTATTTTAATTCTCCTAGTTATTTGGTATTAATTTCCTATAAATGCATCCAGATGTGTATGTATAATAGTACATAATTCTGTGAAAAAATTCTGGCAACTATTTGATAAATTGTCTTCTGAAATTTTCCACCTCTGGACCCATTCTGAAAGTATCAACCCTTTGCTTGCAGTAGAAATATTTTAAATTAATGATACTAGAATATCAAGCATAAAAGTCAGCTTGGAGTAAGAGAAACTCTAAGAACCAACATGAATTCTGCTTCTTTTTATTTTCAGCAGGTCACTTAAGTTGTTTACCTGGCCAGGAGTAAATTAAAGTCCAAAAAAATTAAGTGAGCTTTATGTCTAAATTTAGTGGATTTTCTTGTTTGATCTGATTTCTCTTTTCTACTTGTGTTTTTAGGCTCAGCTATGTGAATCACGCAGAGGATCTGGCCTCCAAGCTCCTACAGTGTTCCCCAAAGAACAGACTGTCTGCACAGGCTGCCTTGAGCCACGAGTATTTTAGTGACCTGCCCCCACGGCTATGGGAACTGACCGACAGTGAGTATGACGAATCCACAATATCCAATCAAAGCTAAGACATCATTTTAGCATCTCTATATAACATGCATATAGATAGATCCACATATTTATGTGTGCACAAACATAAAATATGTAAGTGTATGCATTACACATATATGTCTGTGTGTGTATATATATATATATATATAGAGAGAGAGAGAGAGAGAGAGAGAACAGGGGAAGGGGGGACATGTATGTATATATGTTTAGTGGAATCCTGCCATTCAATTGCTAGCTCACCAGACACAGGAGAAAATGGATTCCTTTTTTGCTATCTCTGCTCTGCAGTCTGCAGCTACGCGTCTTTGTATTTGATTATATGTGTGTCCAAAAAAATGATCTGAGCAGTCATAAAGGAAAAGGAAAATATGATTTACATATTTAGTGCTTTATGCATACAGTACTTTTTAACTGGCTGCAGTACACAGAGGAGAAAATGATTCATTTCTGTTTGATTCTCAGAGACCATCTTGGTCATAACAATAAAGGGCTGCTATGCAGTGAGCTGAGGAACAGAGTTGGCAATTGGCTGATGCACTGAATTGACATGTACGAACTGAAGACATGTAATTCATTTTAACTACAAATGCTCTTGGTATTCATACAGACAGCTCTTCTCTGTATCTTTTAAAACAAAACACATTCCTGGGTGGGTTTTGTTTTGTTTTTACAAAAGTGTTCATATTTACACAGCCTTTTTCAATTACATTTTAAATATTTGGGGGAGGATTTATGGCTGGGAGGATCTCAGCTTTCTTCCAAAGTGTGAAACAGAATTCTTATAAAATTTTGCAAAATACTGTTGCAGTAGGAGTATTTTTGTTCAATAGTGATGTGTTCTTTCCAAGGAACAATTGAGATATTTCTTCTCATACTCTTTTCTGATTGCCTTTAAAATTAATATACTGCATTTATACATATATATTTATAATATAGTTATTAATCCTTGGGTATATATCATTTACAGAAGACATAAAGTTATTTCTTTAGTCTTTTGGATTTTAGACTTTTCCTCCCATTACAGTATTGGATACTCCTTGGTAACAATAACCCTTTATTTTGGAACTAAATTCCAAGTAACAATTCGTCTTGGTTATTTTCACTCTAATTCTATTTTGATATCACACATTATTTCTAAGTACTTTTCTTTAAACCCTAAAGTGACTGTAGATATTACCAGTCTACTACTCTCCTTATGCTTAGCAAATCTACATTAACATTTCACATATTCCCAGCCTATATGAATGCTATACTCTGCCCAACTTCCATTCTAAAAGTCTACCCACTGACTACAGCCACCCCAATCTTAAAAAATTAAAAAGATGAAATCTCTATGGAAAAATAATGCATTGGTGACACTTTTTCCTATACTGAAAAAAAAATGGATGCAAACAGGCTCATTAGTTTATGTCTCATCACATTCAAACATATGATTTGTTTTCCCATTTAGTGTAACTTGTAACTTGATATCACTCCTCCTTGGTGACATCTCAATCCCATCTGACTTGATGATTGAGTTTAAGCCAGGATTTTGATGGTCTATGAATTCTGAATTCTGTAGTAGTACTTTTCTGTTAATATGGACTTATTACCCACTTGCCACTTAGTTTATCAGCCAGTGGTTAAATCCAGTTTCTATCAGTGAGTAAATGCCTACACATTATCACTCGGCAGCAGACTGCCAAGGGAGACAGCCTTGTCCCCGTCATTAACAAGCACAATGTATGCAGAACACCAGAGGGGAATTAAAACCACAAAAAATACCTCAGGGTGGTATTTTTAATATGAGAATTTAATTTGTAATTTCACAGATTAAGAATTTTGGCTGCATTAATCCCTTTATCAGCTCACAGCAGGCTATTTGCGGAAGCATAACCATAAGGCGATATTCATTGGCAGAAACACGTCTTTGCATAACGTTAAACATCAGGAGCAGTGAAACCTTTTGAAGGGGGGAGAATAAAGATGAAAAATCATTATATTTTTAAAGCAAGATTCTACTAAATGCCTCCGGTAACAATTTTGAGTTACAGAAATGCTATTTCTGTGTCTAGAAGATAATCATTATGAAGCATAAATCCAGTTGCAAGAAAGGACAATCCCAGTATTAAATACTACAGTCATTTCCATTTAGAACAACGTGGCTATACTTGTAAACATGTTTACAAAACAAAGAATTCCCAGACTTTGGAGACTCTGGGAATTAGTTCTTTTAAGTGAAATGACAGGTGTTGGCGACTGTCTAGGTTAATGTTCTACAGACTATCTTTAGAAATTCTTAAAATTCAATTTCATGTTAGTGTAGAATCCTGTAGATGTCCACCATCTGCCAAACAGCAGCAGCAGCATCAGCACACTTATGGTGTTTCCTTTTCAAGGAGATTTGGAAGAAAGTCTACCTGGGAAGAAGTATTGCAGAACCAATAAATGGATTGTCTTAGCAACCAAGTCATGGTTTAGACTGATTAATTCCAGGAACCTCACTGTCTTGGGCTCCTCAGGCTGCTGTGACAAAATACCATGGACTGGGTGGCTTAAACAACAGACATTGATTTCTCACAGTGCTGGGGGATGGGAATTCCGAGATAAAGATGCAGCAGATTGGTCCCTGGTGAGGTCTCTCCTCCTGACTTGCAGAGGGCCACCTTACTGTGTCCTCACAGGAGGAAGAGAGCAATCTCTCTCTTCCTCTTCTTATAAAGCCATTAACCCCATCACAAGGACCCTGCCCTCATGGTGCCCTCTTACCCTAACAACCTCCCTAAGGCTCCATCTCCAAAGACCATCTCCAGATATTAATACCATCACTTTGGGGGTTAGGGCTTCAACACATGAATTTGAGGAGGAACACAGTCCAGTCCATAGTACTTTCATTCTCAAAGATGGCTCATGGCGCTTTTTAAAGAATGTCCATGAAGGGAAAACATTTATGCAAGCAGGAAGCAAAATCAGTCTAAAAGGAGAAGATTTAGGAACAAAAATAAGTTAAAAGTCAGCTTGAGCCTTCTTGGCCTGCCTTAATATATCAGACCCTGTGAGAAGAGCATCAAATGTTGTTGGAGCCTGAGGAACAACAGAGCACTGCAGTCATTCCATGCATTAGTGTAAAAGCGAAGCTGTGTGCTTATTGCCAGACTCTTACTTTGGAAAAATACATAACAGTGTAATGTCTTTCTTTACTGTATGGTTCCTTCAAACCTCATCAGGTTACATAATAAATTTGCAAATTTTGCAAATAATGCGTCAGTGTGCCACTGAGGCAGGAATTATTATATAAATGCATCAAGGAAGATAAATGGTACAATTACCTGGGGATCTGGCAGTTAACGCTGACTAATTCTAATGGCACCCTGTCTGTCATTCTCCCTCTGTCCTGAAACCCCAACAGCCTTGCCCCACTTATTCACAAACATTTAATTGCAGAAAAGTAAATGGAGGGCTGATTTAGAAGAAATTCATTGCTTTTCCCAAATACACCACAGGGCATTCTCCTGCGTATACTATCAAGTTACATAAATAATTGAAGTTGAACTACCCTTGTCAAAGTAAATGAACAAAATACACTTCATAGCACAGAGTCCTTGATTTTATTGCACTCATTTGCTAATTCACAAAACTCAAATCTGGCAAAGGAAGGCCAACAAATTGGTAGTGTGAAGAGCACTGAACTGGGATTCTAGCTTCAGCTCCACTATTAACTAGCCAGGGAACTTTGGACACGTATCTTGTTGTCTCTGGGCTGAAACCTTGCCCACAGCCGGCACTCACAGTCCGCACAATAGTTTGTGCTGTGCATTGACGACGAATCCGTTTTGCTCTTGTGTGATGAGGAAAGCTTTGAAGCACTGAAAGCTTGTTTTACTTTACAGGCAGCTTTACTTGTAATGTAAATCAGAATAGGTAACGTGTACATATATGTTTTCATTACGTTATTTTTAAATGTTCACAATTTTATTTTGATAATTGAAAAATTAGAAAAGTCATATCACAGCTGTCGGCTAAAGTCGCTGTGCACGTTCATCTGTGGCTGTTGACTATCGTCGAAGTTAGGCTGTGCGCGTTCATCTGTGGCTGTCAACTACAGTCGACGCTGGTCCTGAAGTGGTTAATGTAGCAACATGCCATCTTCTTAAAAATAAAACGAGCACACCCGTGTTGGATGTATTTGCTGCTTCCAATTCTTAGATTTCCATGCTATTGTGAATCTTTTCCAACCAGGCTTTTGTACCTACGACTCCTGAACTATTGTTTTCGAAGTCTCTATCCTTTGGTATTTTCCCAGCTTCATTTTGATCTAGTGACAGCATTCAACACATCGACCACCTCCTAGTAACACTTCCTACACTTGGTGTCCAGGACAGGATTCTCTCGTGGTATTCCTTTAGTTTAGAAAACTAAACTCTCTTTTTCAGACTCCTTTGCTGATTTCTTCTCATCTGCCAGACCCTCTCACTATTAGATTGTCCTGGGGCTTAACCCTCAGATACTTCTATGTTCATACACTCCCTGGAGCCTAGATGATCTCCTCTAATCTCACCATTTAAATATTGTCTATACACTGACAGCTTCCATATTTCAATCTCTAGTCCTGTCCTCCCTGACTCCAGGGTTGTGTATCCAACTGACTATTCAACATCTCCATGCGGCCACCAACTAAGCATCTCAGACTTAGTATTATCAAAACTGAGCTCCTGATCTTTTCCCTCCAACTTGCTCCCTCTGTGGTCTTACCCTTGTCAATACATGGCAGTGTCTTTCTTCCAGGTGATGGAAGTTATCCTTGACTCCTCTTCTTTTGTCACACTCCATATCCAAATCTTCCACACACCCTGTTGCTGCTACATTCAAAATATATCCAGAATCACACCACTCCTCACTTCACTGCCATCGCCCTGCCCCAAGACACCGTCTTCTCCCACCTGTGTTTTCACAGTGGCCTCCTCACTTGTTTGTCTGCTGCTCTTCTTGCCTTCTTAGAGTCAGCTCTTGCTGTTGCCTCTTCTTACATTTTGTAATTGCTCTCCTTCTAGATATATTCATGGCTTGCCCTCTCACCCCTTTTGGATCTCTGCTCAAATGTCCCTTATCAGGGAGCCTTCACTGACCTCTAAACTCCCAGTTTCTCTTGCCTGCTTTCATTTTCTTCATAGCATTTAACACTCTTTATTATATTTGTTTTCTTGTTTATTGTCTGTCTATCCCTCAACTGGAATCTACAAGAACAGGGATTCCCTTTCATCTGACTTGCTCACTGCAGGATTCTGTAATTCCTGAAACAGTGTAGGGCTCCATAAATTTCTCCAATGAAGGAGTGAAAGAATGGGACAAAGAAAGGGCAAAATATGTTGTTTCCAAATCCAAGTTAATCGTTCTAGATCAAAGAAATGTGAGAGATCATCTGAGCCGTGGAGGAAGGCAGACTGTCCTGTCATATGTGTGTGTAAATATGTGTGTAAATACATGTGCGCCTGTGACCACTTGGCATTTCGAAAACCAGCACATACCATAATGTTTGATGTACAGGACACCCAGAATTACACCTCAATCTCTATTTTTTTAAAAGTAAAATCCTATAAATATGTCTATAAATGTATAAATGAAAACTTTCCATTTTGTCCACAGTGTCTTCTATTTTTACCGTCCCAAATGTGAGATTGCAACCAGAAACTGGAGAAAGCATGCGGGCCTTTGGGAAAAACAATAGTTACGGCAAAAGTCTATCAAACAGCAAGCACTGACGAGCACAACATTCACAAGAGAGCACAGGTAAGATGACCTGCTTTCTTGGAAAGTAATATTTAAGAGATATTGAGTAGATTTTTAAATGAAATATTTCAGACTCATTTCCCCTCAAACTATCTTGCGAGTACCTTGTGTTTATTATCACATATTCATCAGATGTTCTACAGAGGTTGAATGCAGCCAGGCATTTCCATGTTTTCAGGCCCTTACTAGATTCTAACCAAAGTTATATTTTATCTTATGCTTTTATTTATGTAGCCATAGGCAAACTACTTCAGCCATAAGCAAATCATTTTAACTGCTCAAACATTCTTCACTGAGGTTAGAAAAAGGTCCACTTTGGGCTGTATCTCAGCCACAGACCTGCTTTGTTTTGCCCACACAATTTTTTAATTAGTTGCTCTCATTTTAAAATGGGGAAGTTTTATATAAAAGTCTTGATTTCTGGCTTTTCTTGAAAAATTAGCAACTCTGGCAGTACCGCATTCACATTCCTACCAGAAGTTGTGTGTAACAGAAGGATGGCTGCCTCCTGGGAGAGGACAGACGCTCCTCAAACGGGGGGCCAATTCACTATTTCCGAGTCCTGTCTGGCTCCTGGTACAGATCTTGTCATGACAGAGCTTTTCTGTCTTCGTATCCAATTCTTTGACCTCTGCTGTTCTGCATATAGGAAGCATAACCTAAACATGGTCATCTCTAGGCATGTTTGCATGTCCTAGTCATCACAAGAGCTACACAGTGACCAGCAGCAAATGCCAATTTCTGAAAAGGCTACCTTTCAAAAAAGGCATTTGATTCCTAGAGGGAAATACCTGGGTTTTTTGAATTTTTACATGCACATATACATATATATATATGTATATATTCTTTCCTTTAACATAATTCTCTGAAGCAAATAGAGAACAAACGTTGTTGTAGGGAAGGCTTTGTATGTGCTGCTTCGTACAGAGAAATGCATGTTTGTTCCTTACTCCTGCAGATGTTTGGTCATTAAGTGCTGGAGTAAAGGATTTATGCAGCATTGCAGGAGCTCCTTTTCCTTCCTCCGTCTCTTAATTTGAAATATGTTAACAGATTAAATGGACAGCATGGTAAAGAGAGCAAATTAATTTGTCCACGTTGTCTTGTGGGTGATCTACTGGTATCTTGAGCTGTTTTTGGACTTAGCTTTCACATGTCATGAAACATGGGGGGCCAATTCTGGCCTCTCAGTGGTGTGGCAGTGATTTGTGAATGATTTGGAGATAAAAAGATTCCCAGGTAAAATATTGTGTGTGAGTGACAGTCAGAAGATGTTATTGTCAAACTGGCTACTCTATTGTTAAGAGTAAGATTCTTCAGGTTCTTTCTCCCTGTTGGATAAAAAGTTGCCCAGAAGGACAGCTCTGCTCACTTGGTCACATTTGAACTCCCACTCTGAATTTCACTTGGTCAGACAAAGAGTGGAGCTGAGTTTTTGACCAGTTACCTCTTACTTCTGAGAATGGTTTTGATTTATGAGGATTGCATCATATGCTTTATAAAAAGCATTTAACCTGCACTATCATAATGAGGCCTTGGCTTTATAAATCCCTTAGCCAGTTCAGTAGAACAAAACAAAAAGTTGACTTTATTTGTGTTGCTGCCTCAGACGCACATGCGTACAAACAAGCCTAACTTTCAGTTGCAGGGAGGTGTTCCTTCTTCTTGGCCCTTTTGAGATCTTCTGATCTGAGCCTGGCTAGTCAAAGCTGCTAGTACATGTTTCAGCTCAGTTCCTCCTTGTAAAATCAAACCAAGCCCACGGTATAGAAGCTTTGCTAATTATGGCCAGGCATGCAGCACTTTGGAAGGCCAAGGCAGAAAGATAGCTTTAAGGCCAGGTGTCTGAGGCCAGCTTGGGCAACATAGCAAGACTTCTATCTCTACAAAAAAAAAAAAAAAAGTAAAAATAGTAAAAATAGTCAGGAGTGTGTGGAGGCACACACTTGTAGTCCTAGCTATTCAGGAGGCTGAGATGGGAGGATCACTTTGCTTGAGTCCAGGAGTTCGAGGCCGTCTTGAGCTATGACGACAACACTGCATCTCCAGGCTGAGAAACAGAGTGAGACTCTCTCTCTTAAAAAAAAAAAAAAAAAAGATAATTGAAAAGACATTTTTTAAAGGTGCTCGGGACTGCACTCATCACTATATGCAAGCCTTTACAAAAATGTATTTTCTTCACAGTACATGTTTTTTAACCAGATGTAAGGTTATATCTACATAGTGGAAGCTTGTCCTCTAGAATTATTTGATAACAGTACAAATATTTTTTCTATGAGTTTTTCCTTTTTCACATCAACTTTTAAAGCTCTAATATTACTGTTGTAGTTTTCTCCCATTTTCAAATACCTGAGCTTGATTCAACATGATGTTGAGGAAACATCTCAATTTTTCTTTTCTCAGAAAAGCTGCAGGGAAGTTGGATTATAAGAATTCTCTTTTAGTCACCAGAAAAAGAAATCATTTTAATTTCTCACCTTTGTAGGGTGTTTTTATAAATGGAGTCATCTTAGAAATCAAATAATATTGCCCGTTTATTGGCCTAATATATCCTATGGAATGGCCTTACTCTGACCAATAGCTGAATATCAATATCAAACTTAAACATTATAGAGTACAATGTCTGCATAAATAAGATATTCTTAGAGAAAGATATATTAATTCCTCAGACCTTGATTATGTTGTTGTTGAGTTCATTAACTGTTTTAGAGTAAGCTGTGGCATCTTAAATTTCCCTCAAATTTCCCAGTTCTTTGTAAAGCCCAGATAGATTGGAAGGGGAGGGAGGGGAAAGGGTTGGGGGCTCCAAGAGGCCAAGGCTGTAGGCTATGAGCATTTCAACCCCCTCTCTTTGGGGAGTTACACAGAGGTGTATGTAGAAAATACATTGTATCACTTCTGTCTTTGAAATGATAGAGGACTGAGCAGACAGGAGTGTTTCCAGTCCTAATTTTTCTCCCATACCTCAATGCCAAATTATTTCTTTCCTTGCATACTAAGGTCACTTCAATTATTTAGTTAATAATGCTGGATTTGCATAAATTGGCCTTAGTGGAAAAGCTAATGAGATGTGTTTTGCTTTGCAGCAGAAAGCAATTTTGGTTTCAGAGTCTTGTAACCAAATTAAATGAAAAGAAAAACACAAACACCTAAGTTAAAAATGGGAGCGGTGCCACTGGATGATCAAAATACTGCACTTCTTACATTTTTTTATCCTTTAAAGATATGAGTAGACTAAAAATTACTTATTTTATCAGCACTAAAGGGTAAGACCGTTCTAAATTCTGAGAGAGCCTTAAATGTGCATAGACATTTTCCCCAAGGAAAAGACCAGAGCTGTATTCAATACCACATCTATTAATAGCACTTATATTTGCGTGCAGTGATTCCAAACACACCCCTATGTTGATTTTCCAATCATTCTACACTGACATAGAAAGTCACTGTCTACTTCTCCTTTTACTGAATACAATTGCAAATGGCCTCTACTCTTTAAGACACCTGTTTTTTTAATATCATTTTTATGAAATAGTGTTTCTCATTATGGAACATCTCTTTGCAATGAATCAGTTGCTTTTCAGACCCCATTACATTCATAATAAATTTACAAATATTTATATAGTGCATGCAAGAATTTTATTTGGTTCAAGGGCAAGAAGTTAACTGCATGCATACTTTGGTGACCCTCTCTTTACCGCTTATGTGTTGTACCTGCTAATCAACATTATTTAAGAAATATGTGATAATGAAAAAAATGTGTTAGACTCTCTCTGCTTGACTTGATCATTAAGCAATAATTTCCTACCAGCAGGGTGTCAAGTAAACAGAGTAGAATGCTCAAGAAATTTTAATTAAATAAGATAAAGATTTGGTTTTTTTTAGAAACCAGATATTAGGCAGAGCCCAATGCCCTCGTGGTAAGACTCTGTGGCAGCACCATCTGAACACCAGTAGAGCGTGGTCCTCACACTCGAGGGCACCTTCCGTTGTCTGCCGTCTCAGCCACCGTCTCAATTCTAGAAACTGCTCCTAGAGAAACAGCCACCTCCTGTTGCTCTCCTCCGTGCTGTGACATTATTTTTCTGTCCCACTTTTTCTGTCTCTGCATCAACTAGCATTGCTTTCATCTTCCCTTCACCGCGTGGCTTCTGCTGACTTGTTTCTGCTGATTCATGGATCCTGCTTATTATCGTTTCTCTTTGTTCCTCTACTTCTGGGGCAGGCTGCTGCTGACCTCTTTCTGCCTCAGACTCAAACCCTCCCAGACAGCAGCTCTGATTGATACAGCCATCATCATGAAGCTGAGAGCAAGGCTGTTGTGTCAGTCGCCACATTCAAACTGCTGGCCGACTGGAGGCTGCCTCGAGGTCAGGCTCTGAGCCGATGAGGTCAGATGAGCTGAGAACTGGGTGGCCAACCTGTTCCTGCGGAACCCTTCAGAAAGGGGCTCTGAGCTTTGCCATCTCAGAAGCTTCTGTGAAGCAAACAGTGTAGCTGGGAGGCACCTTGCCTGGCCTGTATGCTACGAAGGGAAAAGTCAGATGAGTACAGAGGAAAACTCTAGTTTTGATGGAAAGACAACATGCATCTTCATCGCGCAATATTTTTGTCTGTTGACTGAAGGTCTTTTTAAGGCATGTTGCATTTTCTCAACTATAGACACAAGAGGAAATAATATCCATTAGCACCTTTCTCTGTAGAAGAAATTGAAGTGTTAGATATAGATTTCTTCCAGTACCAGGAAGATTTCTGTTTTTTTCTTTTTTTTTCTTATTCCTGCAAGAACTGCTATTTTCTACGTGATGCTACAAATTGTTTTTGCATCAGACAATTACAGTTTTATTATCTTGGTTGCCTCATGTAGTTGCCAATTGTGGAAAATAACAGGCAGAGAGGAAAACAAACTTTAGTGTTTCTTATAGGTTTTATCTGAAAGAATCCCTGGTTGTTGTCATTGCCCCCATATGACTGTAGATTAAAAAATACATCTTGGGCCGGGC